TAAATATCTATTTATATATATATTATTAAATTAATATATCTATTATTGAAATTTAACATAAATTTATTAATAATACATCATAATATTACAATATTTAATTCATATTCTATCCAATACAAATTAATATATATATATATTAAATTCATTTTTTACAAAATATTTTTTTTAAAATAATTCCCTTTCATAATATTTCAAGACAATTATATTAATATCATCTTCATTATATATTTTAATCCATAGTATAAATCCTTCAATGCCAAATGCTATTGTTTTGTCCGATTTTCATCAATAAATCTGTATCCAATCAATAATATAAATAAATTAATTCAATAATAATCGTATTGGGCGGCCCAAAATTAAGAAATTTCCGGGGCCCGAACAGTAGTAGCAATAATAATAGAAGTAATACTAAAAATAGAAATAGTAATAATAATAATCGCAATGGTAGTGGTTATGTATTTGTGATTATTTTTGAATTTCTATGTTACGTGGTTATATTTTTATCGTTATAGTTGTAAATTAGTATTGCGTAATTGTAATTAAGATTATATATTTGTGATTAAATTTGTAATATTTTTATTTGCGATATATATAATAAATTAATTAAATATATTTAGAATTTGTTTTAATAATTTAATTTTTTTATATAAATAAATTCTAAATATATATAATACATTAATTAATATAATTCTTATTTCATCGGCAATTCATCATATATTCTTTAATAATGGATATATATATATATATTTATTTTTTCATTATATATATCGAATATATATTATAAATTCATATATTAAAATTAACATACATATATATATATATTAAATAGATATATATATTATCAATAATAAATATAATTAAAACAACTTGAAGCCAAGGGGGGGGGGCCGAAAGCTAGCGCTCCAGAATGGGAAAGTAGAAGGCAATGAAGTAGGAAAAAAACACGGCGCTCTTTTTGGAGGCAGGGGTGAAGAATCCTTTATATGTGGCTCTTTGCCCGGATCCTCCTGCGAGAGAAGAAAGACGGAAAAACGAGAGACAGAGAAGAGAAGAGAGAGAGAGAGAGGAAAGAGAGAGGAGAGAGAGAGATGAGAAAGAGATGAAAAAGAGATGAAAAAGAGATGAGAAAGAGATGTAAGAGAGAGAGATATGAGAGAAAAAGATAAGAGAGAGAGATGAGAGAGAGAGATAAGAGAGAGAGATGAGAAAGAGAGATGAGAGAAAGAGATGAGAGAAAGAGATGAGAGAGAGAGAGATGAAAGAGAGAGATGAGAGAGAGAGATGAGACAATAAAACAATGAGACAGTGCGGCCGCAAAATACGTAACGCTAACCGCATGCCAAAGAGCGACGACAAGACGGAGTCGAACTTGCGAAGAGGGAGGAGGGAGGGAGGGAAGGAGGGAGGAAAACAAGGAGGTGGGGAGGTGGGGAGAGGGGAGGAGGGGAAAGGGGCGGAGGGGGGGGGGGGGGGGGGGTCTTCGACCTGAAAAATCAGGGGTTAGGATTTGCACCCGGTCGAAAGAAATCTTGCTATCGCAAGAGTAACTCCAGCTAGCTTCGCTAGCTTTCGTGATATAATTACATAAAATATTCATTAAAAATATTTCTATTTGTTATTTATAAACAAATTTCCTATGCATTCAATATTAATAATATTATAAATAAATATATGCATTAAATATAATATATCTAATATTTCAACCTATTTTATAGATTTCGTTTAAATTATTTAAGAAGAAAGAGACACGAAAGGTAAAACGGCAAGAACAAAAATACAATGTTCGATATAATAATTTATCCCCTCGGAGTCGACCTTTCGTAAATATTTGTTCATATGCATTCTAAATGTTCAAACATATGCTCTCGAAATGTTCAAAAAGATTCTTAGAAAAACAAATTTGCCCCATGGCTCAGATCATCGGTGAGCATTGAATCGGAACATCATAGGATTTAAATTATCCTAAAACCATAAGAAACTCACGAAGACGCTCCCCCCCCAAAAAATTGACGTGCTTCACAAAACAAACTCTAGGTATGTATCCCCT